GTGCCCCCCCGCCTTGCACCGCCCTGGAGGGCCCGGCCCGGCTTTGCTGCCTTCCTCCCTTCATGCATGCATGCATGCATGCATGCACCCATCCGTCCATGCATGCATGGCTCCATCCATGCAGGCAGGCGGGGAAAAGGTTGAGGAGCCTCCAGCCCGCGGCTGCCCGGACGCGGTGGCCTTCTTGCTCCACCCGTGCCGTTTTGCCGAGCCTCCGGCCGGGCCGGGCGGCTTGCCCCCTCGCTGGCCACAAGTTGGATCACTCAAATATCAGTGTATTCATAATAAATCGTATCTCTAACACAAATTACAAAACTGTGTTACTTTCGAAAGCAGGAGAGACATCAGAGGACACAGAGAACCTGTGAAAAGAGCTTATATTTGACAAGGAAGAAGCGATCACGGGTTTAAGAGCCCTCCAACCTGATCCATCCAACATGGCATAACCTTCAAGGCCTGCTCACTGCTTCATCTCTGGACACTAACCCACATTTTGGCTTGTTTCTCTCTCCTCCCGCCCCCCCCCGTCACCCTCCCCATTAATTTTTTTAAACATTTCAAATTGTCTTCCGTGAAGATCCGTCCATCTGGTGCCATGAGATCCTGATCCGTTTTACCCTTTGGGGCAGGGGAGGTTTCAGAAAATAATCTCTTTGACATACACTTTATGTGTGTGTGTGTTTGCAGCAACAGGAAATACAAACATAATCTATAATTCACCCAAAAAGAAATTTCTATCTGCCTTGGGTCCTTTTAAGGAGAAAGACCTGGATAAAACATATTTTAAATAAATAAAAGTTAAGAGTTTTTCCCGACGGCCCATTCCCATTTGATATCCATATCCAAAAATCATTGCAACTGGATGCAAACAGGTCCATGCTATATTATTTTTGGCATCAGTTGCAATTGTTCCAGATTTATTCATGCAGGTGCCACCCATCAGACATACATAACATGGGGGCTTCCATGTTCTGCTTGTTTCTCTCCCCCAATACCCAACCAACAGTAAACAGGCAGGTGTGCTGTTGTCTTTTTGGGGTGGGGGGATGGCCTTCTCTGTCCCGCTTCCTAGCCCACAGTCGGCAGGACAAACGAAAAGGCCCTTTGCCACCGGAACAGGCTCGTTATACAATGACCGAGCAAAGTTTTCCCCCGCTGATCTTTGGAACTGGCTCCTTGGCCGAGGGAGGGAGAAAACTCCAGCAACCTTGTTCCCCAGCAGATGATCTCTGACCACACCTGGTTCTTGTTACCTCCACTGGAAGCACCGGCAGGTGTTAAAGGTGCCCCGCGGCCAGCTGAGGGGCTCTCCGAGGCTGCTCTTGCCGTGATCCGCTCGGTGGGTTTCATGCACAGGTATGTCGGTGGCAGGCGGCAAGCTGGCTTTGCTGCCATCCCTCCCTCATGGGTGACCGAACCGGTGGCCTTGTGGGCGGTCAGAGGGTGCTCCGGAAGGAACGCCTGCTCAGAGAGAGAGAAAGTGTGTGTGTGTGTGTGTTTGTCTGTCTCTCTGTCTCGGGGTGTGCTGCTGCCGTTGCTTCGGTGTCCCCCCCCTCCCAAGTTCAAAAAGAGGCAAATTGCTCAGAAAAGTGAAGAGTCTTGAACAGTTTTGAGCAGTTTCTTTCCTCTCTTGGCACACACTCAGTTGGCAGAAACGCTTCCTAATGATTTCCCTCCTTTTAGGCCACACCTGAGATGACCCAAAGCTGCTAGACCTCTGTGTTTATATCGGTTTAATGTGTTTATGAGTTTAACTGGATTTCAACATTGTAACTTGCTGTATTTGGGGCCATCTATGTTTGGTTTTTGAAACCATTTCTTTTTTCAACATTAAAAAAATTCTATGAATAAGGAACAAAAAGAAAAATAATGAGTTAATGTACATACAATTCTTGCCTATCAAGAGCTCCTGACATTTGTATCCACAACTTACCCTAATCATTTTATCCCAAACATACAATTCTGTGCTTTAGATTTACTTGACCTCTTGCCGTATGTGCTCTGCCCCCATTCTAATGTTTTTAAAAACCATTTTGGAACCTGCTTGAGGTCCTTGAATGGGGGGGGGGATTTAAATGCCAGGAAGGAAGGGGCAGGAGACCATGATGGGGCAGGTGTGGGGCGAAGAGGCAGTTGTAGGGGGTGAGGAGTGCAATAGGGTGCGGATTATCCCGAAGCCATGTCCTGTTGTGGAGCCTCTGAACACCCACGGGGAGGGTGTGACGGCTGTGTTGCTGGCTGAGTAGAGCCAACATCGTCATTTGCAGCTCAGAAAAGCGGTTGGAGGAGACGCAGCGGGCAAGGTGTCTGTCCTTGGCTTTGCCTGCTTTGTTTCCTCCCCTTTGCAGCCAGTGATGGACAGACGGCCGGAGGGGCTGCAGGCCAAAGCGGGCCGGCGGGCCTGCCTTCGTTCCCTTGTTGGAACCAGCAGCCGCACCCCAACCTTTCCTGAGCCAGCTGGAAGGTCGGCTGGAAGGCCCTCCCCAAACATTTGAGGAAGAGGGGCTTCCAAAGGCTGTGAATGGCCTCCCTGTTGGGAGTGACCCAGGCCTCTCTGGCCTCCCCATGTCACCCTCGGTCTCCTGGTCAGCTCCCTTGGCTGGGCATTCTGGCCAGGAGAGAACTTTCGTGACTTCTCTGAAGTCGTCATCAGATTACTTAGCTGTTGGGAGGTCTTGTCCATGCGCCTAGTGTTGCCATCAAGCTCAACTCAGTATCCTCAGCCATCATCATCTAGAAAAGCTGTTCCTTGCGGCGCCGCCTGGGGAGGCCCCCCACCCTCTCTCTCTCTCTCTCTCTCCATCCTGGCTACCTTCATTCCCTGCCTTTGAAAACAGCTCACTCCCATGGCTTTATCTGGGGTGCCATCATCTGCTTGACAGCTACGTCAAGATTAGAATGATACGTCTGGGACACTGCACGGGGGGTTGGACTTTGTCCGTTGTGTGCTTCCAAGGGAAGCCGAACTCCAGCCTGCTACCTGTGTCATAAAACTTGTAAGCCCCTCGGTGAGACCAGAGGCCCCCATCCACTTTTCTTAGGGAGGGGAAACAGTTCTGGTCTCCCTGCTACTCCCTCCCTGCTGAGCTGGCTGGGAAATTGGAGGAGGTCTGGCTTGGGAGGGCTGATGCAAACTCTGCGTCAGTGGCCAGTGGCCAGAGTGAGGCTCTAGCATGCTCTGTGCTTCAGGCCAGGTCCACCCTGGGCTGTAGTCATTTTGTCCGGAGGAGTGAGGGTGAGCCTTGCGGCCCTTCCCCCTCAGCTGTCCATGTTCAGTCCGTTGCACCCTCCTTTGCCCGCAGGCAGATGATGGTGGCACCCCAGCGACTGCTCTGGGTCCTCCTCCCCATCTTGGTGGCTGTGGCCGCACGGGAATCTGTCCTGAACACCTGCATGGATGCCAAGCACCACAAGGCATCTCCTGGCCCCGAGGATAAGCTGCACGAACAGGTAGGGCGGGAGGTGTCCCGAATGGAGCCAAGGAGCCCCGAACGGCCTGGGATCCCCAACTCTGGGAGGGAGGGAGGGAGGGAGGGAGGGGCTTTCGTCTTCACCGGTTTTCAATGAAAAGCAAGCCTCGGGCAGGAGGGAGCCGAGGCCTTCGTGGGCCCCACCAGGAGCGGTGGTGGAGGAGAAACGCCAGCGGCCCCACGGGCTGGTAGCGGAGACTCATGGTGTGCGGGAGTGAGAAGGGAAGAAAGAACTACACGTGAGGTCTTTCTCCTGCCTCTTCCATCTCCATGCCTAGCAGGCCTTTTTTTGGGGGGGGGAAATGATTTTGGGGACTGCAGCTTCCAGATTCCTTCCACCCAGCATGCAGGACGAGAAACCCATCAGAGCAAACACCCTACCCTAAACCTCGGCCCTAATACGGCGTCCGGCTTGGGCTCCTGCTGCACCCCCTAAGTTCTGGAAGAGGCCCAGTTTGCAACCCTTCCTCAGGCAGCATCTCTCTTGGGGGGCTGGTCCTGAGAGGCAAGGTGGGTTAATGGGGGGGGAGAGAGAGAGTCATCAGAGTGTTGGGTTCAAATTCCCCCTTGGCCGCAGAACCCACGGGGCTGCTTTGGGCCACGCACCCTCGCTTGGCCCCAGCCCCCACCTCGCTGCGCCTCCTTTCCTTTGCCAGTGTTCCCCCTGGAAGGAGAGCGCCTGCTGCACCGTCAACACCAGCCAGGCGGCCCACGAGGACACCTCGTACCTGTACAACTTCAACTGGTTCCACTGCGGGATCATGTCCGACAGGTGCAAGAAGCACTTCATCCAGGACACCTGCCTCTATGAGTGCTCGCCCAACCTGGGGCCGTGGATTAACCAGGTAGACTGTGCTGGGGAGGGGGGAGAGAAGATCTGTTTGGGGCTGAACCTCCCTGCCCTGCCCCTCGTTCCCCGCTCCCTTTCCCCCAACCAGGGAATCCGGTGGATCCTCAGCTCACCTGTGTAGCCCCTGGGGGCTCCCCCCAGAAAAGAAGGGAGGCTGAGTTTGGGGGAGGGGGGGTAAGGAGCCCTAGAGGGCGGCGCCTCCTCCTGGCTTTTCCTGGAAATGCACCTTTCACCCTACACTGCATCCTCTGTGCGAGTATGAATGCAATGTTTCTCTCCCTCCTCCCCCCGCCATGCACCCCAGCCGCTCCCTGCAAATCTCTCTACACCATTCCTTGTGTGCTCCCCATCTTCTGCTTCAGCCCAGCTAGAAGTCATTGTGGGGGGAAGTGCGGTGAGATCTTCCGGCGGGGGTTTCTCACGGCGGCACTTCAACCTCAAACTTTTCAGGGGAGCTGCTCAGATTGCGAGCTGCCTGTCTCTTCAGGGAAGACCACGTTTTGTGTACGGGGCAGGGTTTGGCCCCCCCTGCTGGCTGACCCTGCTCTGGCCAAGCCCTTGTGGGGCTCGCGAACCCCTCCTACGAGGGGCGCCTCAGCATCGATGCAGAGCACAGGAAGACAACACACCTTGCAGGCTGCCTTCCCTCCCCCCCCCCAGTCCAGAGGGATATGAGCCTTGCCCAGAGAGGGTGCAGGGGAGATGGCTGGCACTCGCCCCCTCTGTGGCAGAGGGGGGAACAAATGGATTTTATAGACTAGCCCTCTTCCTGGGGGAGAGGGGGGAGGAGAGGGGGAACACACCGTTTTACATGTGCAATGTGTAGCCTGAGAAATCGAATTAAAAACTGCCCACAGAGTGCTTTAAACGCAATGGGACGCTATATATATTTAAGCAGCGCTCTTTACACGCCGAGTGGAACAAACCCCGTTCTCTGACCAGATCAGCCTGTTAATATCTGGGTGACACAAGCCCACTCTTAGAATAACCAGCCTGTAAGATCAGGATGTGACACCCATGGTTCTCCCTAATTAAGTGGGTGACCACTCCCTAATCTGTGTGGGTTTTGCTAAACGGATTTCCAGTCCTGTGCAGAGCCCCAGCAGAGGGCAAGACAGCCCTTGACATTCCTCCTCCTCCTCCTCCTCCTTTTCCTCCTCCTCCATTCCAGGCAGGAGGATGATTCATCAGAGTTTTGGCTGCAGCACTGCAGTTGAACTGCTGCACCATGAGGCCTCCAGTATAAGATAGTCATATCTTCTTTTTCTTGTTATAGATATATTTTTCGAAGAGTTATTGACAAATCCTTGCAACTTGTAGCAAGTGCTTACTAACTAGTGTTTCATACCTTGTTCCTTCAGTGCTGTGGGTGGGACGGAGGCTGATCCACTCCCAGGCCCTCGGCTTGGTCCCAGGCTCCCCTTGCCATATCCTAGCCCTGCCACTAAAACTCTTCTGCTTGTTTGCTTGCCCCCCCCCCCACGACAGGTGGACCAGAGCTGGCGCAAAGAGCGGATCGTGGACGTGCCGCTGTGCAAGGAGGATTGTGAGCAGTGGTGGGAAGACTGTCAGTACGACTTTACTTGCAAGGAGAACTGGCATGTAGGATGGGACTGGTCCTCAGGTCAGTGAGGATCCAGAGAGCGGCTGATGTTGCCGTCACTGCTTTTCTCTCCCTCTCCCATCCCAGCCCCCATGGCACATTTGGGGGAAGGACGAGGGAGGTGTGCGGGCAGCACTCCTGGGGGGAAAGGGTGACCCTGGGGAGGGGGCTGCTGGCCAAGGGGGAACCTGATCCAGCCCCCTTGAAGCTTGGTGGGACAGCCCGCGTTTTGCCCCACCTAGGTAAAATTCCTTTTTTTGGGTGCAGGGTGGACGACAGGTTCTGGAACACACACACTCACACCCAGCCAGCCAGCCAGCACAGTCACAAGCCTTATAGGCTGAAGGATCTGCGAAGCTGCCTCCCAGACATCCCATAATTTCCCCAAGCTCTGTGCTTTGCATGCAACAAGGCCACCTCCCTATTGGCCCAGGGATGCATGGCCTGGCCTTGTCCTCTGGGGGGGGGTTGAACCACAGGTGTGGGGGCGAAGCAGGCATCCTCGAGGAGACCCGGAGGTCTCTTACCTGCCCCAGAGACGCAGGCGCAGACGAGCGCAATTGAGCTCCCGTAGGAGCGTGCAGTTTTCCTAAAGCAAGGAGGTTCGAGAGATCTTTTTCCAGGTCCAGATTAAAAAAGAAAAGGGCTGCTCAGATCATGGGGCAAAAGGCTGGTGTAATAATAACCAGAAACACCTTCTCTCTTGGGGCGCCTGATTTATTCGATGAAGAAAAGAGTAGCCACCTTCACCCTGACATGCCACCAGTTAGGAACCCAGGCTCTCCTGTTCCTGCGGCTGCTTTTCTCCCCCTTTCCTCTTTTTCTGGAGAGAGGACAGAAGGCCAGAGAGACAGGCTTGAAACAGACCCCGAAGGCTCAAAGGGAACGCTGTGGATCCAGAAAGAGTCGGGGAAGCGTGGGGGAGGGGACACACACCGGGCGTCCCTGCAGTGGGGTGGGGAGGGATCAGCGAAAGCCACCCCACTCCTCCTGTGCCAATCCAGGCAGAGGGTCCTCCTTGGCAGCTGGCGCCTTCTGGACTTGGTGGCCCAGCACAGTTTAGCCGAGTCGGCTCCTGGGGGACCGTGACCCCCCCCACCAGAACGGCCTCTCGGAGGCACAGCCTGCCAGCTGTTCACCAGCTGCAAACTGGAGGGGTGCCTGGCCCCCTCTTGTCCCCGCCTGCAGGCAGTGGTTCCCCATCCTAGCCTCCTGGAAGGGAACCACTTGCAGCCCCCTCACCGCAACTCCGTCTTTCTTTCTTTCTTTCCATTTCGTGCCAGGGGTGAATCAGTGCCCCGAGGGATCCATGTGCCAGCGGTGGACGAGGGTTTTCCCTCGCCCCAAAGACATGTGCGAGAAGATCTGGAGCAACTCCTACAAATATACCACCTGGCTCAGAGGCAGCGGGCGCTGCATCCAGATGTGGTTTAATGCCACGGAAGGCAACCCCAACGCGGCCGTGGCCAGGTATTACGCCAGCGGAGGGGAGCTCCCTGCGGCTCGCCTGCCTTGGGTGGCTCCCGCGTTGCTGTGGCCGGTGCTCCTGACCCTGCAGTGACCTCGGCGTGGGATTTCTACTCCCTGGGCTTTTGGCCGGTAAAACAGGACGGTGAGGGATGCCCCCGCCTTGCTCAAGCGGGTCAGAAAATCGGAACTCCTGCAGCGGCTCGTGAGGGGGTCCTCCCCCAGAACTCACTCTCTCTGGGTAGTTTCCGTGGCTGCCTGTGCTTTTCCTCAGTGGAACCTCCTTTCCCTGGCCCCCCTCTGAGAGGGAGGGGTTGAACCTCCTGTAACAGAGATGTATCACATATGGGACGAAGGAATTAAAAAAGTCTGGCTCTTACGGGCTCTGTTGTCCTTGTTCTTGGCCTCTCAGCTTTCGGGAGTAAAGGCAATGCTTTCCCCCACCCCAAAGATTCACCACCTTTGCGTAGAGGCCTGTGGGGGGGGGACCTTCCTGCTCCAGGACCAGAAAAAGTAAAAAATGCGGTGTGGGCAGCCCCTCATCCCATGACCCAGTAGGCATTGTGGGGAAGGGGGCAGAGATGTCACTGGGGACTGGTGGGTCCGGAGAGGCCTGGCTCAGGCCACGATCTGTCTCTCCCCCCCCCCCCCCGTGGAGAGGTGTACGGGAAGCAACAAGAAGTTGCAGATCCTGCCTGAGGATATGGACGGAAGAAATGTTCTATGAGCACGGAAGGCTGGGAGTTCTGTTCTCATGACACGTGACCCAGCGCTCTCCTTTCCGGACTTCATCTCAGCGGCGGCACGGAGGTCCCCCAGACACCTTGTCCCTGGGTGACTTCCACGTCCACGCCGAGGTGGGGGCCACAGGCCCAGCTCTTGAGTTCTTGGAAACCAGGGCTCCCGTGGACATGTCGCAGTTGGTCCACGGTCCCAGCCACGGGGCGGGTCACCCTTTAGACTGGTATTTCCAACCGGTCACGGAGAGAGTGGACCCAGGGGTGACTGACATGCAATCGGTCCCCTTGTCTTGGTCGGACCCCCACCTAATAAAATGTAAGCTCACCGTGGCATTCCTCCCCCCCTGTGGGGAGCAGGGACCCGTGAAGAGGGTCCGCCCATTGGATCCTGTGGGTTTCCAAGATGCAATGCCTGATTACCAGCTGATCCAGCGCCCATTGGATCCTGTGGGTTTCCAAGATGTAATGCCTGATTACCAGCTGATCCAGGAGGTGCTCCTGTCGAAGCTCTGGTGGGTGAATAGGATGCGGCTGCCACCCGGGCGGCTGAGAGGATCGCGCCTAAATGTCCTTTCCACTCCCCCTGGTATAACCAACAGCTGTGGGGGTTCAAGCATCATAGGGGGAGGCTAGAAGGGCATTTGGAGACGAGCCCCGACAGTTAATACATCCTGCTACAATGGTGTCAAATTATTTATTTAGCCAAAGTGAAACCTATAAGAAAATCCTACTTCGCTCGCTGGATAAGCAAAGCTCAGGACCACTGAGTGGAACTGTTCTGTATTGTACGCGACTTAGCCGGAACTGGTCACATTGATAGGCCTTCCGGGAGCATCTCCTGCAACCCATTTCTTTAAACAAAACTTGTACGCGACTTAGCCGGAACTGGTCACAGTGACAGGCCTCCCGGGACCATCTCCTGCAACCCATTTGTGGCCTTCTTTAAACAAAATGTGGAGGCCATCAGCCGGGACCTCGATATCTCCTCTTTATCAGTGGATTGAGCCGAGACATCCAGCGCATTGCCTTGCCTGGGCATTTTAACACAGTTTCAGCCCGTGATGCCAGTTGAGGTTGACGGGGCCCTTGATCGCTGCAGGCCCGCCACCTCCTCACTCGATCCTGGCCCAGCCTGGAAGCAGGAAGAGGCTATTAAGAATGGTTCTCCCCTCGAGGGCAGGGTCCCCCTTGCCTTCAAGGAGACACTCCTTAGGCCTATCTGGAAAAAACCCAGTCTGGCGGCTGATGATATTAACAACCATTGTCCAGTCGCCAATATCCCCTTCATTGGCACTCCGGTGGAGAGAGTGGTGGCCGAGCAGCTTCAGGCCCTCCTGGAGGAGACCAATGCCCTTGATCCAGTCCAGTCCAGGTTCAGGTCGCATCATGGCATGGAGACGGGCATCTTCAGAGGACACGAGTCAGAACGCTGTCTGTGCTCTGTTGCAGTTTGTTAGATAATTGAGTATTTATGGCTGTGGGATCAGCTTTTGTCCTTTTCAAGAGATTGGGTGATTTTGTTGTGGATGTATTGTTGTGATAAGGGGGAGATATGATCTGTCACTGTGGTTGATGGGTGTCGTTAGCTGGTCTTTTGTGTGCAGTGATCACTGATCCTTGTGGCTGGGTAGAGGTTGTTGACCTTTTGCAGGCTGTATTTTTCAGTGCTGGGAGCCAGGCTGCAACAGAGCACAGACAGAGTTCTGACTCCTATCCTCTGAGGATGCCAGCCACAGACACTGGTGAAACGTTAGGAAGAAAAAACCTTAAGAACACAGCCAAACAGCCCAGAAAACCCACAACAACTATTTTCTTGTTCTAACTTATTCTTATTAAGCAATTTTTTCTAAATGATTTTTAATTCTATCCATACTTTCTAATGGATTTTTCACTGTCAAAAGGGAATCATCAGCAAATAAGTTAATCTTTGTTTTGTTATCCTCACCCATACCATCAATTGAATCATCATTCCTTATTGCATTTGCTAACATTTCAATAATCAAACAAAACAGAACTGGAGAAAGAGGACACCCCTGGCCTAGAGCTATCTGTGTTGTCATCCCATCATTAACTATTACTGCAGAAGTGTTCTCCAAATATAGCCAATCTGTTATCCCCATAATTTTTTCCCCCAATACCCCGACCCTTTAAAAGAATCTTTAATGTTGGACATTCTACACAATCAAAAATATCTAACGATAAAATACCTGCCTTTATCTTATCTTCTATATTATATATAATATTCAAAACCCTCCTAGTTAAATTTGCCATTTGTCGTCCCTTTAAAAAAACATTCTCATCCTCTTTAATATATTTTGTAATGAATGTATTCATTCTATTTGCTAAAATTGTTGTAAATATCTTTGCATCTTGATTTAATAACGAGATAGGCCTATTTGAACTTGGATGTGTTAGATCTTTATTGGGTTTTGGGATAAGAATTGTTAGTGAATATTTCGAAGAATCTGGTATTTCCTCTCCTTCCAGTATTCCATTATAAAGTATTTTCAACTTGGGGATCAGTATTGGTTTAAAGCAGGCTTGCCCAACCCGCGGCCCGAGGGCCACATGCGGCCCAGGTCAGCTCGTAATGCAGCCCAGTGCAATTTTTTATTTTTAAAGAAATTCCAAAGTTCCAAGTTACACTGTTGGCGCTTGCGGCCAGAATGTGGCCGGGGCACGTCACAACAGCAGAGGGAGAGAGAGGGAAGGAAGGAAGGAATGGGAGGGGAGGAGACACGGGGGGCTGCGTGACTGCATTGCGCCACCCCCGTCAATAGGTGGAACCCTTCCCAGCCCCATAAAGCCGCCGGAGTCAAAGCTGGCAGCCTCTGCTGTCTGAGATCGCAGCTGCCGGTAAGTGTGCTTGGAGTGGGGCTGCGGAGGACGGCTAGGGCTGCCCCCCCATGCGGCCCAAACCAAATGCATGTGCAACCCAAACCAAATTTTCATCTTCTAATGTGGCCCAGGGAAGGTTGGACACCCCTGATTTAAAGGATTTATAATATTCTGGTCCCATTCCATCAAAGCCTGGAGTTTTTGCCATTTTTAAATTTGTTGATAACCTCTGTAAGCTCTTCGTCCTTTATCACTTTTTGTAATTCTCTTTTGTCATTCTGTAGTTCTGTAATTCTCTTTTGTCATTTACTCTCTACAATTCCTTTAATACAATTTTCTATATCTTCTTTTAGTATATTATTACCTTTATATAAATTTTGGTAAAATTATTGTAATATTACTAATTTTTCCTTCATTAGGCTGCAATTCTTTCCTGTTTTGTCTCTGATCACTCTAATTGTGTTTTTAGTCTTTTAGTTTGAACTACCCTAGCTAAAACCTTTGAATATTTATTACTGTACTAAAAAAATTATCTTTGAGGATATCAAATCTGTCTGAACCTTTTCTAGCTCTCTGCTTTCTAGCTCTCCTTTTAGTTTGAATATCTAATAATTTCTTATTATCTCTGTCTATAAAATATTTACTTTCTAGATCTTTTACTGATTCTTCTACTTTTTAAATATATTTTCTTCTCTCATTTTTTTTTATTCTGCATGATTCTCTTATGGCAATTTCTCTCATAACTTATTTTACGGTGTCCCATAACACTCCTATTTTACTCCCACCTGCTTCATTTATTGACCACGTTTCCATCTGTTCTTTCTGTCCATTACATCTATGTACTGAAAAATATTAGAATCTATTCTTCATCTTCTGGATCTTTCTTAACATTCATCATCATCATCATCATCATCATCATCATCATCATCATCATCATCATCATCATCATCATCATCATCATCACATAAAATGTTCTGGCATCATGGCCTTTCCCTGAGATGAGGAATTTACGCCACCCTTTCTCTGCGCCCTCCAGCGGGGAGCTTTGAATGGGGAGAGAGCGCGCACGAGTGAGAAAAGAGGCGTCGCCCCGCCTCCTTTGCTAGGCAACCGCTGAAGAAACTCTCCTCCGGGATTCGCCAGGGCTTTTTAAGGGCAGGGAAAGCATCCAATCAGGGCCTCCCCGCCGCCGGTCGCCTCCCGGAGTACAGGCGCGCCGGGCGGGGGCTCCTCTTGGGCAGCGGCGGTTCGCGGGCGCGCCTACGGGGGTTGGTGGCGGTGGTGCGGCGGCTTTTCTTCCTCTTCTTGGTCCTGCCGCTTTGCTCTCGGGATGGGACGGCCGGAGGGGCCCCCGCT